GAGCCCGAGCAGCTCCGACCGCGGCCCACACCAATAAATGCTCTTTAACGGTTGTCCCTGCGCTTCTCTGTGCCCCAGGGACACGGAACAGGCAGGAGGAGCCAGGGCGCTCAGGGCAAGACGGGGTCTGGCCATAGGACACAGCAGGGATGCTCTGTGCTGTCCCCAAGGCCACCGGGGCGGTGCTGGGGGGACGCTGGCTCCTGACGTGCCCTGCGGGGCGCCCATCGGCTTTCGCCCCCTACCCCCCTCCCTCGTAAGGCTCCCGGGGCTGCGGGGGTGTCCCCAGCCGCAGCAAGGAGCAGCCCCGGCATCGAGGGCGCTGCCGGTGGCTCCGCGGGGCAGCTCTGACCCCGTCATGGGGCTCCACAGGAAAGAACAGGGCTTTGGCCTCCTCCCCACGCGGGGACTCGGGTTTAATCCTGTTCAATAAGGCTGGTCCAGTTCTCCTCGTGCCGGCCGGCTGGGCCGCGGCGCTACTCCGTGCCGTTGGTGAACTGGCAGAGTTTGTTCTCCAGGTCGGAGATGCGCTTCTCGTGCGCCTGCACGGTCTCCTTGAGGGCACGGATCTCCTCCAGCACCTCCTCCAGGGCGGGACGCTGAGGGGGACACGTGGGGCTGTCACCACAGTGCCCGCCAGCCCCTCGGCACCCACCAGCCCTCATGGGACATGCCCACCCTATGGTTTCCTGGACTGGGAGGACATCCCATGCCCAATGTCCTCCAGTGTGGAGGACATCCCCACCTCATGTCCTCTTGGATGAAGAAGACATCCCCACACCATGGCCTCCTGGACTGGGAGAACACTCCATGCACAATGTCCTCCAGCATGGAGAGGACATCCCCACCTCATGGCCCTGGATGGAGAGGACATCCCTACCCCATGGCCTCCTAGGTGGAAAGGACATTCCCACTCCATGGCCTGTTGCATGGAGAGGACATCTCCCCGCCCTGGTCTCCTGCATGGACAGGATGTCCCATGGCCTGGCCCTGTGGGGCTGGCTGGGGGGTGGTGGCACTCACGGAGAGGTTGGAGTCGCTGCCGGACTGGCTGTGCCGGGGCGGCCGGTTGTCCAGGATGTTCTTCTTGACCACCTTGAGCTCGCGGTTCTTGAGGGGCACGTAGCCGTCGCGCAGCGAGATGAGGACGGGCTCTGCG